ACAAAAATGTCACATTAACACGACCCAGCACGTGCCAGTAATCCCACATAAGCTGTCTCGCAATGGTAGCATCCTGCAGAAACGGTGAAATTCACGTCAACTCCCTCATGCTAGCAGGTGTTAAGTGCGAACGATGGATCGTGAATAAGGACGGTAGGATTGTTAAACTTTCGCCCTAAATATACACCCTCGAACAAAAGGTGTGTAACGGGTGATGTAAAGTCAAAGCAGCATGATACAATGGACAGTTTGTAGAGGACAGGTATTCTCAAAGTCAGCCAAGGTACGTTGTACTGATAACTTATATGCAATATTTTGTTGAAATAGGAGTGTCTATCCCATGTATTGGCGCGCCTTTCCAGAAAACAGTCTTTGCAGGCGGTTTCCCAAAATTTTCGATGAAAGTATGGTCAATTAAGCTAAGAATGGTATTTACATTCAGGACAGAAAAAGCTTCGATACAGGACTATCTTCTGATCTCGGTGGAGCAACCAAGTGGGATCAACCCACAACGGAGACTAGATTACTCCGGTCTCGTGACTTCGGCTTGAAATTGACACTTCTTGATAGGCTACCTTCAGACTGCCATAAGGGATTACTGGAAATTTCCCCGTGGTATAAAGCCATCTCCGTAAAATGACCTGGATGAGGAATTTGTGTACTGAACTTTCTTTCTATGAAAAACGCGCAGCGATTCAACAATGTTATGACTAGAACTTTGTCCCACGCGCATGGGCTTCGAACGCTGCAGAGGTGGTCTCGCAGGTACATACTCGGGCCGCCACACCAGAGCGAATGGATTGGGTAATGCTGACAATTTTGTGGGAGATCTGAGCTTTCGGAAAACGATTCATAACACCTTCATGTTCACAGAACCAAAGGCCTCCGTGAAGTCTACCAAAGAAGAATATAACGGCTGGTTCCGTTCCCGGTATTTTCTTGTTGCTGATGCTCCGCAAAAATAAGGTCAGTCGTGCTGCATCCGTTTCAGGATTCACACTGCTGTTCAAAGGCGTTTTACTTCAGAATATTTGTCTCTGAGAGGAACGTTTTGCCTGCACTGTAAGGGCTGAACCCTCAATAGCTCCGCACATTCCGTTGGCTTCATTTCCCTCGCTACAGTGGCATGGCTATACCGTCCTTGATCACTTATGGGACAGTTTCTATCTCCCAGAATGAGAAAATTAAGTAAGAAGCCTCGTCTTCCAGTACTGATCCACTCAGTTTGGATATTTCTGTGAGTATACCATCTTCTAGGACAGCTCTTTCGTTTCGTAGTTCACTTGTTGCCATCACTGACTTTCAGTCTCGGTAGATGGCTTGGAAAAACCGATCTTCACAAACGCTTCACGCAACTGTGCAAGACAGTCTTAATCTACGTTGGACGGTTTGTCAAGTAGTGCTGGGAAACTATGGTAGCGTTGAGTTGCACAACCCGTGAACAACATCTTTTAGAAAATTCCGTAATTCTGACTGGTTAGATGACAAATTAACTCAACGGCAAGGCCACTCCAAAGCCAACCGCACCAATAAATGATCAGTGTTTCAATCCCTTTGCAAATGATACAATCCCAGAGGATTTCCATGCCCAATTCTCTGATCTGTCCAAGTCCCTATAAGCGCTTTCTCAGCGTTAGACCACATGTTAGTGATGAGAAAGAAGAAGGTAGCGAACAAAGCTTGTTTTCTGTAATCACCAGAAGGCTTAGAAACTCCGTTGATACGACATACTTGGCCGCTAATCTATGTTTGAGCTTCAACTCCAGCCCCACTATCAGATTCTGCTTGAAAGACAAATTGCCACGTTCTACCACCAGCTTTTGTGTGTACTCATTCGTATGCTCGTGCCGAGCATCATACGTTGGTCGTACGACAAGGCACTTGTCGGACAGAATACGAGAACACAACCCCGTATCTCTGAGTGGTAGGGGAAAGAAACCAGGCTCAAGCGCGATTGTGGCACACTTGGCCGAAACCTGTCATATCATAGTCAAGAAGCAAGCCTTCACCATCATATACCGGGTACCTCTGAACGGATCACGACTCGTACGATCCAGACTACTATCGATCGCAGAGGCGATAGGTATCCGACTGCTGGATCCACAACTTTGCATCCAAAAGAAACTTGTGCGACCTCTGAACTTGAACTGGCCTACGAAACATCTGGTCCCACAAGTCTCTCTGACATTGACGTCACTTACTTGACTCCGTGACCCATTGGCCTACCCCTCACCCAATCCCCTTCCTTTGACTTCTATTTCTCTAAAGTGTATGTAGCCCCGATCGTAATCTTTTCCACGTGATTTCTGCTACCATATAAATTTGTGGTGTATTAGCCGAGATGAACAATCACAGAAAACAAGCTTCGTTCGCTACCTTCTTCGTTCTCATGACTACAACGGGTATATTCAGCCGCATATGTTAGTGACGTTGGGTTTCATAGTCGCGCGTATACTTAGTAGACACCGGCAGTGCCTCCGTTTCCGAGTAATCCGATTATTCCTTACGTCTGTTTGGCACGACCGACTCAAGCGTTAACATAATCTATGAAAACAGGCATCCAATTACCCAGATCGATATGATGACAGTTGATAATTCCTGGAATGCTTCCCGTACAGCTCCTTGGTGAGGAATCATACATACTAACAAAAGGGCAAAAAGTCAATGTGACGATGTAAGATTGGTAGTCACTAACTTTGCACTGATGCCGTTCAGTTCATCCAGCATTTTTGCGCTCATGGGATCAGTCAGCATAGATAGGGCTCCATGTTTTCGTCAACTGTCTTGTGAAGTTTTAGCTCAGCAGACTCTGTACCCAGCTACCTGTAATTTTCCCTGGCTTAGAGCAGCTATGCCAACGCGATAGCGTTTTTGCACCTAGGCTTCAAGGGTGGTACAACTATCGGGTCTGTTTCTTACCTGTCTAGAAGAGTCCTAAAGATCATGGTTCCCAGCCGAGCTTGACGTCCTCACTATTCTTTGCCTGTGGTTGCTACCTCGTGCAACTTTTAAATATTCACTACCGGTTCCTTTGATTAAGCCCTACTAAGCGTAGTTCAATTTCCCATTATTGAGGCAGCTTTATGGAGACCAACGTATCAAAAGTCTGACCCAGTTAGCGATGAAGAGCTGGCCTAGCCCAAGGACGCAAGAAAAGCATAGGCCTATGACTCATAATGCTGCCGCGTGCAGGTGCGTTTCGCTCCGCCTGGGTTTTGGAAGTATTCCAACCATACACTGTATTGCACCAAGGGTCACGGCCAATCGCTCAGGGACCGGAGGAAGGTATGGAGGCATGGGGGGGACATCTTAATTACTGCCCTTCAGATGCCCGTGGTACGAGGACCTGTTGCTCTTCGGTACCATTCCTGATATGGTAAAGCACCAAGGCAGCGTTGCATGTCGGATCATTGTGCCACTGAAGCCCAACCACCATGATAAGGTGGCGGCTATCGGCATGTTTACGTACCTCTGGGGCATTAACTGCTGTGCAAACGAGGTTAGGAATACTGACCGACAGAAGAAATCTAACGCGTCTCTAAACTCAAAAAAGACCAAGGCTGCAGGTCACCTGCGCACGCGGCGTTGGTCTAACATCTGACGGGGTGAAGAGATATGGTTTTCAACTCGGCCTCTGCAACAACAGCCATACGCTGTTACTTGAGGACTGCTGCTTTATATTTCGAATTCCGAAGCGGAATCGCGTCGGCTGATTATGACGTTTCCTTCAGTGGCATCTCGCTTTAAGTCAAGAACAAATGGACCCAAACCCTGTCTGTCCGACTTCTCTGATTCGACCACTGGATGTTGTAAAGATCGCTATCCATGATTGACACCAGGAAATCGATACCAGCAGGCAACGAGTATGACGGCGTGCGCAAGTCCTTCAAACGCCAAAACTGAAGAGCCTAAGGAAAGACCAAGAGCTCTGGTGGACATCGAAAACTCGGGAGATGGAAGGCTTTTGCTATCGGACAGAGCCATGCCCCATACTAAGTGATACGATCGACTGGCCTTAGGAAACCAAAAGTCAGTCAAACGATAAGTGAAAAAGATGTCTGATTAATTCACTGGCAAAATCGTCGATTGGAAAGATGGGCCGAGCACCTCGAAGAACAGTTCAGCTAGCTTCCTGCAACAGTCTGTGGAGATAATGCACACGGGCGAATGGAATGTAAACCTTGATCGCCCTTCGGAAGAAGAAATAAGGTACGAAATAGCCCTACTAATGTGTCAGAAAACACCAGGACCAGACGGTCTGTATCCACCCCTCTTCAAAGAAGGCGGAAAATCCCGGGTGACCCATCTGGCAAAGCTTATTGGTACCATATGGCAGGCAGAGGTGCCCGCAGAATGGGGCACGTCGACAGTTATCCCTATCTTCAAAAAGGGTGCACGGACGCCGTGTGAAAAACACCGTGGCATCAGCCTATTACCTATAGCATCGAAGATGCCCTCTGGCCCTATCCTTCGAAGGCTGACTGAACATGGGATGACAGATCCGTGAAAACCAAGCTGGGTTCTGCCTTGCAAGAGGATGCACCGGTCATATCTTCGCCCTCCGACGGATTCTGGAACAGCGACACTGCTCCCAGCAACCAGCGATGGTTGTGTTTCTTGATTTGAAAGCTGCCTTTGACTCTGTGGACTGCCAGGCACTGTGGAAGTGTCTATGTAGCAAAGGTGTTCCGCATGAATGTTTGACCCTCCTTAAAGCGCTGTACGCCAACTCCCGTGGTCGTGTGAAGGTCTACGTGAAGCTCTTGCCTGAGTTCACCACAACAAGTGGTGTCAGACAGGGCTACCCTCTTTCATCCTTTCTCTTCAAATTCGTCATTGATACGATCATGGAAGACGCACTACCAGCCTCTAATGCCTGTGGGGTCGAAGTGCTCCCGGGGCGTCCGCTCACAGATATCGAGTACGCATAAGACATAGCTCTTCTGGAACCTGACCCCGTGGTAATGCAAATAATATTAAATAATCTAAATAATTCTGCCTCACGATTCGGGTTCACATCTGCGAAGTGCAAAATAGGCAAGTCTATCTACCTGGGCAGCTGTATCGTGCCGGTTGGCTGGTGAGACATATTTCCATCCGGATTGGGAAGGCCAGTGCAGCTTTTGTGAACCTGCGTCACTTGCGGCGTAAACGTGACATCAACTTAACCATCAAGGGTCGAGTTTACAATCCTGCGCTGCAATCCATATTGCTGGGCCAGAAAGCTCACAGATATCGAGTACGCATAAGACATAGCTCTTCTGGAACCTGACCCCGTGGTAATGCAAATAATATTAAATAATCTAAATAATTCTGCCTCACGATTCGGGTTCACATCTGCGAAGTGCAAAATAGGCAAGTCTATCTACCTGGGCAGCTGTATCGTGCCGGTTGGCTGGTGAGACATATTTCCATCCGGATTGGGAAGGCCAGTGCAGCTTTTGTGAACCTGCGTCACTTGCGGCGTAAACGTGACATCAACTTAACCATCAAGGGTCGAGTTTACAATCCTGCGCTGCAATCCATATTGCTATACGGGCCAGAAACGTGAACGGTGTGCACCGAGGACATCAAGACTTTCAGTGTTTGACCACCGATGTCTTCGGAGCATTGCCCGAGTCTGGTGGGAACACCGGAACAGCAATGCTGAAGTACGCCGAATAGTATTCGGAAATAACTCGCCCATGATAGATGAGCTGGCTACGACGGCTTGGCCACGTGCTCCCTATGCCAGTTAACCGACATTCTCGAAGTTTTTTTGCAGAACCACGCGGAGGGTGCAACGAGCCAGGAGAGGTCAAACAATGACTTGGCAGCGAAGTGTGAAAGTCATTACTAGCAAACTCAGCTGCTGTCTAGGCTTGGGCATACTGGCAGTATCCCAGCCGTCGTGCTTCCTTCTGGTGGCATGGCAGCTGGGCATCGAAAGGATGCTACAGCTGAACGAACGAAACTCAGCTGCGCTGGACATTACTGTATACCTGGAGGGACACCCCGGAAAGGGCCACATCAACGGTTGCAGACATTAACAGATATGACCCAGCCGCGTCCTCAATGACGCTCGTGAATCCAAGCTGTTGCCATGCGTAGCTTCCTTCCCAACCCTCCACCTATAGGTCCACTGACAAACCTGTATTCACGCACCAATTCATCAGCTCCCGCCTCCAATGCGCGGCTACCCACCCTATCTCCCCAAATTATCGATGGACGAAACTGTGGTAGCTACAACCACTGTACGACAAGTCCGCGGCTCTTAACACTGGTAATGATGAAGACATCAAATATCCAGCCAAACAGTTGGTAGAGTGTGGTGCACGGATTTCTGCTTTTCTTGACAGAAACTATCCACAGACCACCTGAGGACAGAAGCGGGTTTCTGATCACATACACACACACACTGTGTGTGTGCAGAATCCATCAGCTCGAGTGGAGGCATAGAATCCCGGACACCAAAGTCTTTCAGAAAAAGAAGAATGTTGGAATCGAATGCAATATGATGCGAAACCGACTATGTTGGTTAAACCAACTGAAACGAGTAGCCGACGCTCCTACTTCAAAACAACTAGCCAGCGGTCACCTCAGGAACAGGACTCGCCCGAAGTCCCGATAATTCCACAGACTTCGGGTAGGCTTGAAAAACCGTAGCTTCCATTTCAAATTATGTGAACACCTGATAATCCACAGGACGGCCTAAAGAAGAGCTATCCAAACAAGCGTAAGAACCTTTGGACCTGGACGTGTCTTGATTCTGCGAAACAGGGGAGAAATGCGGAAAGGACTCAATGTCCTCAAAGCAACCCAGATCATGTAAATTTGTGCCAAATGCGGAAAGAGTGGACTGTATCACCGACGTACTAACCACCAACTCATGTTAAACGTAACCATCTAGGACTGAGTTATTTTTTGTCCCACTTTCCAATGAGTACCTGCTCGAACTTGCCGTCCTAGGGATGCCAAAACTATCAGCCACCTTTAATCGTATTGTAAATGGAATACCTCCAGGTTACTAACTACTACCTTAGCTGCATAGACCCACGACACTCTTGAGGAAATAAACAGACAGCCGGAGAACCTACTGGTGAATGGCATTCCGAATGCGTTGTGTTTTGATAGCTGAGGTAGAAAAATAAGGCCCAACAAAGTGAAACAATGAGTGCATATATGCGCTGGAAAATCACAAGGCAGGTAAACAGAGAAAAGCTGGACATCAGGTGCCAGAGTATGATCAATAAGAGAATAAAAACATCCTGGGAGGGAAACAATGACTGGATCAGATAAGCGAGTTTACAAAATGATACGTTAACAGCTAAAAATCACAGACGATCTGACAAATGAGGTCGGTATGCTTGTTTTAGGCATCAACATTTTCTGGACCGACAGCGTGGTGTACAACAACAGTCACTTCCGTATGTGAGCATGTCGAAGTTCGGCTGTTCCGGTCAGGTGTTTTCTTGGATTTAGAGGCAAGAGAACTCGAAGATGACTGTGATGACTGAGTAGAAGTCAATTCGGGGGGTTGGTCATTCGAAGACAACTGTCTTGAAGCACCAGCTGAATGCTGAAGCTTATGTGCCGACAACGAATCTGCAACACCTATTGAGAAATTTGGTTGGGTGTATTAGAAATCAATCAAAAGGAGAGACTGCTGCATGTTAGATATCTGTCTACGGCGTCGTGAGATATTCAAAAGTCGTATTCAGAGCCGGGGCTTTCAAACCTCTCAAGATACCCTAACTGGATAGCAAATAATCGGATTTCAAACGAATTATTTCAAAATTTCCATGATGCTTGAGTGACAGCTGTGTAGAAAAGTTGTGAGGACGTCCTAACATACAAAAAAAGCAAAAAAACACGGTATCAACAATACAATGTGCTAGAAATGAGCCTGAAACTGTCAGTCACAGAGTGGGTGGTGCCAGTTGGGTCCATCGGGTCGTCCATTCACGGACGCTGAAGAGGACAGTAGTCGAACTTAAAATACCCCAACAGTACTCTCATGTGGTACCAAACGTGGTGAAGATAAGAAAACGAAAGGATGGCACACCCCAACCAGGAAAAACCTAGTAAAACATTTCATAGATGCAACTGATTAGCGGAAGGACAGCCAAATTTATACGACTTAATAATCCCAAAAGGAAGTCTGGGTAACGTGCCACACAGGGAGTGCAATTGCTATACGAGAAAAAAACGTGAAGGAGCCAACATCTGTGAAAAGCCGGGAGAAGAAGGATGGCATAGGAACAAGCCCAACAACAGGTCGTGTCAGACAGTGTGGCAGAGGTCAGTTTTCCTGCGGGGAACGACCTGCAGCGAAAGTAGAAGCATTGCAAAAAGTGATACGCTACCAAGTCTCGGAAGGCTACTCGACTAGAAAGCAATAGAAATCTGGATATCGAGCAGGTCTCCGAAGCCCAACCGCTAAGAAGATTCCGCAGTCCAGTAGAAGTGTCTCATACTCAAGAGAACAGCGTTACCAACAATTAAGACCAGACAACAACATCGATTGTGAAGACAAGAGAGGAAGTTCATCGGGTTCAAACTTCCTCACATTCGATGCAACTTACCTTTGACGAACTCTCCTGTCATCGAAGTCAGCAACAGAACAAACTGTTGGATAGCTATCAGCACATACTACTCACAGATGAGCCAGATGCTTGGAAGTTTTATGGGCATGCATAACAACAAAACAGTCTTTCTGAAAAGACTGATTTGGCATATGTTCTCAGCCTATGAAAACAGCGAGGCCGTACCCGAGACTAAAATGAGTTCACTCAAGTATCGGGTTAATTGGTCGGGACGATGTATTTGAAAATGACAATGCAGTGGTTACCATATGCTACTGCACCAAAAAAATCGAATTATGTGCTATTGTGTAAATCTGGCAATTAGCTGGCCTGATTTCAACGTGGTCTAAAGCTTTTGAGGTGATGGCCGGAATACTTCCTCGCAGACTGGTGGCGTACGTTGGTCGCATCAATCTTTTACTCTTATTCATCCAAAATTTGCTTTTCAATTTGATTCGCCATTTCCCGGCTAAGCGCCTTGCCGTTCGATTCATCAGTCGCCTAGCTATAGTAAAAAATACGGGTGGTCCCATAATTGTGTCACGGGGTACATAAACCTTTTGAATGTAGCTAGACCAATTGCAGGCAAGCCACAAATCCTGTGTGCAAAACCACGAATCGTGTGCTTCGGAAGAAAAGTAAATTTATCTCGTGCGGAATCAAAGTTGCAGAGCGCAACGCCATATTGCGGTTTTAACGCCGCCTGTTCACATACACCTGGGCCCAGCTATTAGGCACATCGAAGCGCTGTTCAATAGACGTCACTCAATCCGCACGTATTGGAAATACATACTATCAACTTACACCTAACTACAGCCGACCACGTGTGTTTGGGTGACATCTGAAGATACACAGGTAGCATACGGTGGCCGGATATGGGACCCACATTGACAGGACACAACACTTAACAGCCATGCCTTGCACCAAATGCGATTGGTCTCGTTGCACAAACAACAGCAGCAGTTATGTACACACTGCTAGTTATGCCATCTAATCAAAGCATATCATTAAGGTACTGGATTTAGAAACCACTCTGAAAACTAAGCGCGATTACATATTCACAGCTTATCCCGTTGTCCCATTCAGGACGCCTATATAAAGGACCATGTGAAAAAAGGAACGGATAGTTGGGTATTGGTTTACGACAGCGGAGTGCTCAGTGGTACGAGCACGGATTCACTGACCGAATATCCGACCGAAATATTCGAACCCGACCTCTGCTTCTCGACTTCCCCTGTCTAGACTTGGGAAACCTGGCAGTATCCCAGCCCTCGTGCTTCCTTCGGAAGACACGGCAGCTAGGCACCGAAAGGGCGGTACAGCTGAACGATTTTTACTGTTTTTATTAGTTCGGGTATGGGAATGGGTGATACTCAAGCTTAAACAATTATTATAGGTTGTGGAAACGAAATGCTTTTTTAATGTGAACATCAAGCAGGCAAAAAGCAAACCATGCAATTGTTGCCTAAGCGAAAGAGGACGCATAATTGGATGGCGGTATTGAAAATAAAGGAAAGACTAAGCCTGGAATTATGTCTCTGCGGCCGAATAACATACCTTCAGCCCCAGTCGCAGAATCAAATACATTAATGTTCGTGTTCGAGGCCTCTGAGCGACCTAACTGGGAGTGACGCATTTCGGATGTCTCTATTCCTGTCCATTAAGGTTTGGGGATATCGAACAGGATAGGGCTGAATAGAAACAAGCATACCAGACAAGTTTGTCGAACTACGACAGGGATATCGAAGCCGTATTCGTACTTCCAAGAACGTGTGATTGCTGAAGGTTGCTTCGGTACAACAGTCATGACTGTGTGTACAGAAAATCAAGAAAAGCTGAGGTTTCGTAAGACAACAGTTAACCTTCAGAACGATTCCCTTACAACCAACAGAAACATAACAAATTCATCTGTTATCGTTTCAGGTGGTAGCTAGCCGACATAACACCGCAATTTGTTCGCCCATCTAACCTATATTGAATCGTTTCTGACATCAAAATAAATAAACCGGTCACCCTTGGAATGCTTTCGGTGCAATACTACCATGCACACCGGAGTAATCAAGCGAGTTGAATTACGGTCAGCTTGTCCGTGCTTGGAGAAAAGCGATGGGAGAGATAAGGTGGACTAGAAACAGGAAACGCTGGATCGGTAGTTCGCACCGTAAGCACTGAGCTGCCTCGAGTTCGTCTGAGGTGAATGTAGACTCTGTTTGGCTGAGTCACGATAGGCTGCGGTACCAAAAAAGGTCATTGTCTTTGTTACCGGAACCGCAAGCGTGCTAACGTAACAGTCGGCAGGTTCAATATGTGAAGGATAGCCATTTCTCCAAACTCACAACTGTTCAAGAAACATTGCGGATAACTTGGAACGCAAGAGCCATACTGCATATCTTTAGGTCCCGCTACTAATTTGTTCATCTTATACTTGAAGAACTAGTCGGATTACCGATTCCTGTTAAAAAGCAGTCTTTTAACTTCTTTAAGGCATGCTTATTTCCGTCATAGATAGCAATAGTTTATGGAAGTTGCGATAGCTGTTGTGGACAACAATACGTAATAATATTAGTAATAATAATAATTCATCTGTAATGCCCTTTCGGTACATGAAAGCAGAGATACTCCCAGATTGTCCAAGCCTGGAGAGGAGCAGTCGAGATGTAGCGGTTGGGTTCGAACCACAGACCGTCCGGTCAGTAAGTTCGCGTCTTAACCACTGATCTATCTCGAGCAAATAGGCATGAAATACGCATTCGAACTTCGAGGACCGGCACCCAGAACAACAGTATATCAGTCCACTGTGAATGCACAGACCACAATGTCACCGCGAACGATAGTTGGGCCACAGACCGTGGAACGAAAACTTTTACTCTTAAGTGAGGTTTTCTGAACGAATGTTCTGTTATGAACTTGTGCTTGTTTGTCAACAGTGTAGCCGTGGTAAGAAGGATGTTTTTATCGGTTTGGTCTTATTCAGTAGAGCGGAAATGTATGGACGCTTGTTTAACACGCCAAAGTTTCAACGTCACAAACTGAAAGTCATGACAAGCTATTTACTTGTCAAGCACATCCTGTGGATGACGTACAACTACTGATGAGACTTGTTGACAAGGTTCACCACGGAAATAACAGTCACGGAAAGGTACTCTATCAGAGTGTTTATCAAGGTGCTCACATAAGGAAGGAGAAAATCGAAGAAGAAACAAGAGTAATAAATCAGATGTACTTTGTTCGCTTGATGCCGATGGACAAGTCGCGACTAGTCAAGTCACCACCAAACACGACCAGATATTTGCCCATCAGTGGGCCTGGTATGAACGTGATCGGCAAATAAAAACCAAGACGAAAAAACTGCAGCCGTCCGATAATGTATGCTGTCTAGTCCAGACAGAACGTAAAAAAAATTGGAAATATTATGAGGAACGGCTGGTTTCAACCTGTTTATGGATTATCAGGCAGCTGCCACCCTGAGTAACCCGAGTTCGCGTTCAGCTGTAGCACCCTTCCGGTGCCTAGCTGCCATGCCACCCGAAGGAACCACGAGGGCTGGGATACGGCCAGGTTGCCCAAGTCAGGGGAAGCCGAGAGGCAGAGGTTGGATTCGAACCGCGGACCTTCCGGTCAGTAAATTCGCGCTCTAACCACTTGGACCATCTCGCCCCCACCTGAGTAACCCGAATGCAAACAAATCGTTGATTGAAAATGGAATTTACTTTCACATCTCTTTTAGCGAAAGGTTGACCACAAGCTAGCCTCATGTCTTCCATATATCCCGATGGAAGTAGGAACCTGAGAGGTTTTTAAGCCAGCAGCAGCATATTGGTGAATAAGTTAAAAAGATTAAAGTTATCGTTGTAATGATGATCGTCATCAATAGTCAAAGACGCCACTCCGCAGCTGATGGAGAAATATCAAAGTTAGTCCCCCGGGGGCTTGTCGTTTGTCAACAAGAACTGCACGATGTTCATTTTAGACAGTGTCCAAAAGGTCACAATGTCCTTCGAACATGTGACAGAAGTTATTTATATTCTCTGCATCCACTCCAGTACCGATAGGATACTGTTCCATTTCTTGTGTATATCCATTCAAAATGAAGAGCGCGCGTTTGCACGCACTTTGTCTTGTTGGCCATTGTAAGCAGCATCGGAACCCAACCCAACCGGGTTTGCTTCACAGAGTCCAGTGGAGGACACCGAGAAATGGATTTCGAAAGTAAAATGCGCAACCACCGCGCCAGCTGAGCGTTCAATCGTCCAATGAACAAGCTACACCAAATATGAAAACTCTCGGTTATCGCTTTAGTCCAACGTTATCCTCAGCTCAATGGTCATGGGCAGGTCCATCAAAAACCAACTACTGGCTACCGAATACGTGACACAACGCTGAAACTGTTTGAACTGTGTTCCCTCCCAACATAAGTAGTGAACACCAACACAGTGAAAAATTAACATGACATACCTTTTCCTGTTTATGATCTCATCTATTCACGCAATATAATATAGTGAGTATTTAAATTGGATGCCGGGTTGACTTAATCAATGATATCGACGTTCTCCCCAGTGTGCTTCTGGTTAGTTCCATGGCTGGGTGTTACTAATTGCAACAGGCGCCACATAGTCAAGTTAATCAGAACATATCGACTTTTTTTTCAAGAAAAATATTAGAACTTACTGGTGGAGTTTTTCGAATTTCGACGCCTTGAACTTGGGCTACAGGGCAAGGAATTCGCAAAAGATGTGGCTTCAGTGTTGACGGATACTGAGTGGTCACCACTCACGTCCAGACAAGCTGCGCTGCGGGTCGAAAGGGCGGGGGAGTGCGGGCGGAGAGATCCCTCGGATGAACCAGGAATGAGGAGAGGGGTGGCTTCTGTGGAAGAGTGTGGTACCGGAACGTGTACAGTGTCCGCAGACTGAAACGTACCATAGGAACCAGTCGAGCGTGGTTGCTGTTCAAGTGTGACTGGACCGGTTTCGGTTTCAGACTCGGATTCACTAAGCAGATGGTCATCACCTCCATCTTCCGCATCAACGGCCGAAGTCCTGACACCAGAACGGAGCCGTGCTAAGAATGATTGATGTTGTCGCCTTTCGAAAACCGGCCGCTTGCAAATAGGGCAAACGCGCCGTCCTTTTAGGAGCCATGGGTCAATACATCTTGTGTGATACACTAAATGAAAGATTGGGAGTGAATGAATTCAATGATGAAAATCACATAACTTGGGAAATAAGATGCGAAAATACAACCTCACAAGAAAATCCACCACCCTCACTGACAGGAGAGGTAATTCTCTTAAAAGTGAATTTTCTCGAGAGAGGAGAGTGAGATCAAGCCAGGCCACAAAGATTCATGCTGAAACTCCACTTATACCACTAAATCAAACGAACAAACGATATGATAATTAAAGTGGCAAGAAAAGTTGGCCGCTTACCACCAGTAGACAATCCTCTATAACATGCCCAATGGGGTTCACAGGACAATCGGTAACTTTACCCTCATTTTGGGTTAAGCGAAAACGCAGTGTTCATGTGCAATTTCTTCAGCTATGTTAGGGATTTGCGCTCATGACCTGACATAACACACTATTTACAAGAGTACCACAAATGAACGATTCAGACAGGAGTCAGTTGTGTCTCGCGTTAATACCAGCTTAACTTGCAAATGAGTTACATCAGACATTTCAAAGTCCTAAGTTCCTGCATTTCCTGCAAGTGATCCGGGGTATGGTAACCTTACTGAAGTGGAGTGTGATCCTGTTTCAAAGCTTCTCCACTGGATAATGACCTGAAATCTTTTGAAACTCATCCTCAACTAATAACAGGAACGTTTCGCACTCATTTGTGGTAGTACGCACTGTCCAGGGACAACTTATATCCGTTCTGAGGTAAGTAATGGTCATCCGTGTCACTATCCGAACTAGGTTGAGAGTAAACATAGTTTTTGAGCAACCGAAAACGGCTTGCTTCGCATAGAAAGAGAAGCGTTTGGCTTGCAGGGCTCGTTTGCTCAGTCTTGTGTAAAGTGGAAACGACCGAGAGACGAACGGTCCATGATATGGCAACGGACTATGACAGCTGTTGCCTGCCTGGATGAGGACGCCACGATTCAACCCATCAATGGTTAAAGACCGGTACACATGACTCAATCCTGCAGTCAGTGGCGCTCCAGCTTCAAAACTACCATGTTCAGTGTGTAACTGCCCAGTTTTTCGTCCCAGACTGATCCAATACGAACAAACTGATTACGCCATTGACTCCAGCACTTCACTACACCACACAGCCATCCCATTTTCAGTGACCGAAACTTTAGCAGATGGAACCAATATAACTTGGTGCATAGTTTAGAGCTGCTAAACTGGGCTGAACTGAAAGAAACGGCCTTCTGCTCCTTTAACTTCCAGTTCCAAACAGGGCCTGGCATTGAGAAGGAGTCTCCCACGCCACCAAACGCCGAACGTGTTCCCTCGGCAGTAAAGCTCTCTACTGATCTATGGCTCTCTCCTAATTCAGGAAGTCGTTCCCTGCAGTTTGGAGCGACTGAACAGGACTTCACGTTGAGTTGACACGAGGTTGGTGGTAAAATGTGAAAGACTATCGATCAGTGGTATCAAATACAATGCGCCCGTGTTTTATAGGGACCAAATTCATGTAAGTAAGAGGGGTCCTGACTGAGATGTTAGATTTGTGTATTATCGGAATTCACCCATTGATTTCATTTGTAAGGTATTTTGCAGTCGTGAAATGCTACAGCAAAAAACGTAGGTCTTTCCGATCCCATGAATTGCAACAACAGAAACAACGGTTTATCCATTCTCTTCTGTTGCAAAAACATTCAGTTCTTCGGTAATCATCAAAAGTCATCGTTCTGTCAATATTCGTGTTTCTGGCGAAAAACGGCTTGCCCACAGTCGCTCTAGTCCGCTACACGTCGTGTTGAGACTAACCCCATCGTTGGTACACAGGACAGATAACAACACATCCCCACTAACCATAGAACGAAGTATGCCAGAGCACGCTGTGTTATCACAGACGGCAATCATGGATATAACCACAGGTAAAACAAGGCGCCAGCTTGATTACCTTACTGTATGAACAGCTCCCTACCATTGGTGATGCCGAATCCAAAAGTTACCTATACGACCTGTTTCAGAGACACATCGCGCAAATGATGATGTCCGGTTACGTGTTATTGATACTGAGCTGTTATCTGCAAGACTTGTGGCTCGAAGTACCAAACGGGCACCAGTCCACTCTAACTACATGTTTCAACGCAATGACAAGCAGGTAAATCAATATACGTGTGCATCAGGATGATCAGGCGTACTGTTGAAAGAAGTGTGAAATACAAGTCCTCTAACTGCGGAGATTAAATGTAACTGAGTGGCTAGAAGCGCGTGGTTGAAGGTGCTTTTGAGTTTGTGTCCTATACTGTTAGCAGTGTGGTTTCCCTTAAATTGTAGGCATGAAGTGACCACTTTTTATGGAACACGCTAATCTGTTCGACACAGCGAATTCTTTACAGAGCGGAGATGCAGAGTCCGGTCCACCTCCGGAGGTGTATCCGTGATCAATCTGAACACTATCAAGCAGAGAAAGCAATATCGTGACTTCCTGGTCCGATGATGCAAAAGAGGAACAAGAAAGCCACCAATCGCTTCGCCGAAACTCGTAAGCCACGCACAGACTTCTATCCGATTCCTAATGGTATACATACGTAGATCCACCAATGGATTTTGATGAGTCGAGTCGACCTGCTTACGTCAGATCTGAAGATCTTGTGTGGATGAACCCTTCTAATGAAACTATGTTATGCACCGTTCGTGCAGGTACTTTATCTAATTCATCGTAGTCAAGAGGCCAAAACCTGATGGGTGTCACAGAAATAAGAAGAGACAAACAGAAAGATAAACCTAATGTGACAGACAGGTCACTTTCGAACACAGCCCGAGCACCACTACAATTCCTGAGTGACAACAGCATCAAACACAGAGGCGCCACCATAACTTGAAGAGTCTTTTGCAAAAAGAACCAATAGGTAGCGGGGGATAGCTTAATTTCTGGTATCCACGATCATTCTAAAAGCCCATTACTTCAACGACGACGGAAATTAGCAATGGAAACATGACTGAAATAGGATGGTTACCACTTTTTCAACGTCTCCGGCCATGCTCATGGCGCCACGAGAACCCCAAATCGAGTACACATGTTCTCGTAATCTCGTCCATATCGATCCGTCCTGTCAATATGTTGAGGCATCAAGCAATTCAGAAAAAGAATACACAGATAGAAGAAAGATAGCTAAGTTGTTTGAGACCACTTACCATGCTCACATGGTAGCGTGCGTAGCCTGTCTCCATCCTCATAATCCTCCAGACAGATGACACATTTCCCATCGGGAGTTTGGCCTGCATAACAAGTTGGGAGGTTGTTAGCAAAGTGGGCGGAAGGGGAAGCACACATCAAAATACAATTCACTCTACACCATGAGGACAAGTGTTACTGTTAGGTCATCCTAACTCGGCGGAAAATTTTCGGCAATAATAAATGAGGTAGTTTCAGAGGAAACATTGTAAATATACATTGTCTGTTCCACGACAAACACAATAAGAAACCAGAAGGGCACAAGTATGACCTACCCTTAATGAACTTTGTGCTTGGCAGGCAATTAAGCTGCCTGGAAGTGAGACAACGGCGAAGACGTCTTCGGCGTTGATCGTGCCAGCGGAAAGCGCACATGCATAAAACGCCCAATAAGAAGAGGCCCAACACCGATAGAACAGGGACCACGTACCAAGTGATATCTGTCTTATGATTGGCATATATTTCAATAACGTAAGCGCTGCAGTGAAAAGAAAACGATTTTGAAAAAAATGAGCCGAAATGGGGGAAAAGAATCGAATCATCAACCGCGCACAGGGAACTGAGAAGAGCCACTTAACAATGTATTTCCAACTCGAACCAACTAGGAATTTATCACATGACAGGAGTGTCAAAACCGGGCTAAAACCAGCAGAAAATAGACTATCAGCCGCTAGCCCTCCAAGGCGTTAGAAAAATGTATTCTCATGCACGGTTAGCTAACGAACAGCATAATAAGGCTATGGCTATTGGAATTCTGTGTCAGTGCTCACGCAGGTGGATCCCAAAAACCCACATCCAGGTATTCTTCTTGGGGTAAATATGATTTTTACTTAGGACCACATACCTGAGGGCCAATAACTCATGGAAATTCCTGCGGTACAGTAACCACTGACAAACGCGCTCAGGCAGATGATTAATGGATCTCTTAGATTGAATTCACTTAGAATATCAGTGTTACGGGCTCTCTCTTCTCCCAAGAAGTACATTCGTTAGGCGTGTTGCCCAAGTTCAGACTAGTGTCACCTAACCCACGCCCCCCAAGGCCGATGGGTAGTAATATGCGACAGCGGCGGAAGACTGATATGCCGCTTCAGGTAACAGTTTACAAAGGTATAGGGAGTTCAACATGCACCCGCAAACAAAGCTTTTGTAACTCGAAGAGCTGGTTCAAAATACTGTCAGATATCCTATTGGTGCAAATACGTGCACTTCTGAACGAAAACCCAGACACCTACCGAACAGGATGAGGAAAGTAACATTATTTTCACATTACCAGTACGCTACTTGACGGACATAGGTAAAAAAGTTCGGCAGAAGGTTGCTGTCGCAACCAGAGGCAACTGCTTTCTGTAAATATAACGCTAGGAGAGTGCTCCTTTCATTCCTTCTTCAGTGTTTGATTCAAAACTGAATGCAGAAGTTTCCCGAGGAAGAGAAGCCAAGAGAAGTGAAAAGATCGTTGGCTATGAAGAAATATCCGCTCTTGGTAGGTGGTCTTGAAGTTTCATTCTGGGACCCAAGTCTTTTCGCCCAGTGAAGGGATTGGCTTTTGGGAATTCGTTTTTAGGAACAATTATTGCAGTTCGATGGTCGAAACGTAGATGACTTGGGTGCTGCAAGAAACGTTTTGTTATTCTTGAGGCTCACAGGTTTCAAGAAACAAGCCCTAACAAACACGTAATTTTTGGACAGCATTTCAGTTCCCTATCCATTCAGACATCAGTTCGTTGGAAAACACTCGTGTCCCGTGTGACCTACAAGAGAGTGACGGAAAATGTGCTGTCTTGGCAACGCACGGGACGATAGTTGAACCATGCACCAGCTAACACCGTGATATCGGGAATCAGTTGTAGGTACTTTGGGGTTTCACGGATCGAACGCTGACGAACCGTTTTGACAACTCAGGCTACTCCTTAAACCGTGGCAAAGTAGGTGGTGAATGCAGTGCGTCAATAAGTACAACTTCAGAAGGGAGATAAAGAAATAGTACGTCGATAAATACCAAGAGAGGCACACGAATATTACGAAACGAGCGGATTTATTGACCATCTAATAAATACTGAGCACCCGCATTTTAGCTCTCACTAAGTTCGCGCAACGACTAGACACCATTAGGTTGCTTCCAGAACAGCCCGCTGTTGACATGGAGTCATATAACAGCGGTATCGGTGACACCGGCCGTTTAAGCATGCCACAGGGAAGTACAAGTGGGTTATGTACGGGATGCATCACGACCAGCTCTAGAAAAAGGGAGTGCTGTCATGACTGCAGACTGTCATGACAGAGAAGTTTGTTGCCAAAAAGCACCTCCTTGAACGTGGTGCTCTCTACCCGCAAGGAGTACTACACTCGATACCTACTGGAGTAACAAATAAACGTCTTGAGTTTTGTGAATTTCTAGGCACATTTAACCTATATGTAGTTCAGTTTATATGGAAGATTGCACTTGGCAAACATTCCTTAGTGAGACAAGTGAAACGTCGTAGGAACAGAGCTTTACTTGTAGAGGAGCTTGCGGGCGACTCTGGTATTAACTAACCAAAAGCTCAAATTCTACAAGTCCCGGGTGTTCACATAACGCCTGAACATAAACAGTCTGTTGTACTTACTCTGTATGGAAAACGAATCTTTCGAACATTGCCCGGCCGTCAGATCGGCCGATCATGACTGCCGGTATATTAACCGGAAAGCCTGAAGTTTGGTTACCGAGAATGCTGTGACTTACCCGTCTTGGAGGACATGGGGAAAATATCGTCACTCAGGTGGTTAAAAACTATTGCTGCGACATAACCACCACGCTCCGCCGCTGTGACCTTTTCTTCAAAAGTACAGTTTCCACGCTTCAGCAAGCACACAAATGGTAATGCATACTTAGATGCATTCTCAGGCAGCGGCACTTTATTAACGCAGCCCTCAAGTGGATTTGAAGCGTATATTCGTCCCTAGTAGGGAAGTGTTACAGATAAAAAAAATGGTTTCACCATGATGGGAGCATTTGGGTCGATTCTCCGGCCAAACTGCGCTTCATCATCCTGAAACTCTGCTACGGACTCGTTTCGGCCTAGGTGCCTCTGGAATGAACAATCAAATACTTGGCACTCTAGACAAACCACAAGAATGGTAGCTGTTAAAGTATCCCAACGGACACACAAAAGGAAGTAAATCGAAATAATGTGGTTTCTGTCTATCATTATCGGTTCATTCGTGCATTTCGAACGCAATAGCAGACCACAAAGGTAACTTGAGACGAGATGCAAAGTTTCCAGTTCCGCGTCATACGCCTTCTGAGGGATCACATTGGGGATAAACCTAAAAACAAAAACCCCACAGGTAAATAAAAATATCCTTAATGAAATCGGTCGTTAGGTTTTTCGGATCGCAAGTAGAACACAAACCGAAGTTCACACAACGATTAACACTTGGCCAATACAATACCAAGCTGGAAAAGGTAGAAATCACACACTAAATACGGATCCTCTGGTTTGGAACTCCCATCCGAAACTCGAGCAATGAAAACCGACAGAATCAAGCCGACGGGATCAACGAGATCGATCTCCACTCAGCAAGCTAAATTAGCATCGCTTCTCATTGGTTAGCACTGCTAAATTTGGGCACCACTGACGGAGAAAGCAACATGAATTCCGACTTGGTCTTGTTCCACAGGTTCATCAAACTTCGGGTGATTGCTTCTCTTGAAGGTAGGTTAGAAGGTTAACCCCTTGTGGATAGGTATTAAAACGGGTAAACCACACGAGTTTCGACCAAACTAGCTCTGATGACTAAATCTGAACTTCTGGTATCTTTACTCTATAGACACTGTTTACTCACTTCACTTCAGACGAATATCTGCTGGGATAGAAGTATCTGGCTTGTGAAATGTGTCAGATGCACGCAGCCCAGGTCTGGTGTTCCACTGCGAGGTTAGCACAAATGGTGCTCAGTTTCGGCTCCAGTGACGGACTCCGTACACCACATGAGGGCGGGTCTATCCCATTTCGCCGTTGACCTTGTCCAGCAAGGTTTTCACTTGTTCTCGCGGCGACAATCCCATCCTTAACGGTGAGTTGGCAGTGGTTTGACAGTGATTTCGGCATCGTTGTGCGCAACAGATACCCAAATCATTACAGACGTCATTGCAGGAGGGATAGAGAGGGGCGTGGTAGGTCACAACATTTCCTGGTCTCAGAATTGGACATTCCTAGATAGCGAACTCTCAATATACATTGGAGTAACCTATGGTTAAAAACCTTCAGTTTCTGGCTGTTCTTTATACACAGAGGACGCATACATCAGAATTGGGAGGAAGACCGTGCTGATGACTTGGATGTCCGTGCGTAAAAATAATTTCAGCTCTTTTCCACGAGATGAATTTCATTCGTATAAATGTTTGCCCGACACTTTAGCCTGTCCATCAGGTGAAATAGTGGAACGAGAATACTTGAACTCGGTACACCTTGGATTATTTCAAACCTACGGTTGAGAGGCCAGGAATGCACATCAATCCAAGTAAATAACTTAGTCTTCGACTTGTTGACCCCCAATCCTACGAGTGCCGAGTGGCGAGTTACATTACTCAGTACAGGCTGGAGTTCCCTGAAGTTATTGCCCAGCAGGACGACACCATCAGCGTATTCTAAGTAAAAATCGTTCAGCTCTAGCACCCTATCGATACCTAACTACCATGTCACCCGAAGGCTGCACGAGGGCTGAGATACTGCCAGGTTGCCCAGGCCTAGACAGGGGAAGTTGAGAGGCGTAGGTCGGGTTCGAACCACGGACGTTCCGGTCAGTAAATTCGCGCTCTAACCACTTGTTCCATCTCGCCTATCTAGGTTTGGGGACCTAACTGGAGGCCGGGGTATACCCCAATGCCCGTTCGAGTGACCAACAGACTCTGAAGTTAAAGAGCACCCACGAAATTTGGCAGTCCTATCGTACCAAGGCCTCGTTTGCTAGTGATCCGGGGAGATAAGTGAGAATAGCTACGCATTAGGGGCAATGATTGATATAAGTGACAGGTAAATCCAAGAGTGTCAGCGCACTTTTGTTGGGGAGATCGGGAGGGAAAGCTGGGCACTGAATGCAACAACTTGATATGCGCGTCACCGAGCGAACGACTGGGCCATGTCTGACAATGACTTTGATCAGTGGTGCTCCGTTTCATGGTTCCATTTAAGGGGAAGCAATGACCACTGCGGCTGAGTTTTCTGGTATTGGCCTTCATACTTCAATACCAAATCATTGTTTGACCTCCTCTGACGCGTGTCCATCTCTCGCTGGTTGTGCGGAAAAGGCTGTTCGAGGAAATCGGTCGATTAGGACGCAGAACGTGATCAAACCAGCGCAATCTACGGAGTGTGATTAATTCACCTGTCGTGGTCATCATTGCTTTCGAAAACTATTCAACGCACTTCAGTAGTACTGATCTGGTGTTCCCACCAAACTGACATAGACGGTCAACCATTGGAAGTTACTTTAAGAGTCCTCAAAGCGTAGCGTCCAGGTTTTTTATGTATATGGCAACATTGAGAGCACCGCAGCGTCTTAAACTCTACAAGCTTTTCTCAATGTTACAAGTGGCGCAAACTGGCAAATACGGGTCTGACGTCAACTTAGTCCGCCACACTACTCTTAGATCTAACGCAACTCGCGAAATAAGTAAAGTATTCTTCAACCTCCCGTAATTTCCAAACTCTTGGAGACATGCCCGGACTGCAAGTCCCATAGCACGACTTTAAATAAAAATAAATCGTTCATCTGTAGCACCCTTTCGGTGCCTAGCTGCCATGCCGCATGAGGGCTGGGATACTGCCAGGTCGCCAAGCCTAGACAAGGCATTGAAATTCTCCTGGTACGCTTGTTCTCACAAATTAGGTAGTTCTCCTTGATTCGAATCCTTTAAAGACAAACCCTTTCAAATGACCTGAAGAATTTTAACTCACGGTTTAGTGTTCCCCATACCTGTAAAGTGTAAGGTGCTGCTACAAGACCGAGTGGGATAAAACCCAAGCCTCATGTCTGCAGACGAGTGTCATGGCCGTTCTTTGTGTTCATATTATCGGTTCGTATTAATCATACTTTTGCCTCTACTTCCAGCTTGCGGATGTTTATTCCTAGACAAGTAAAGCACTATTCATTCCACCCTATTCAGTCTTATCCTCGCAATCAGTCAGGATCGACATTCCATTCGATGTGGTAGATAAATTTGCTTCCTTGGGCAGTTGTATAAGTTCCGGTGGACCGGCAGGTGGTGAGATTGCTTCTCGAGTCGGGAAAGCCAGGGCAGCTTCTGCAAACATCCGACAAATGGCGCCGGTGTGACGCCAGTTGGTCCGTCAAAGGCAGGGTATACACTGTGGTGGTACGATCCACACTGCTTTATAGATCAGAAACGTGGCCTTCACTTGCAGAGAACGTATGAAGGCTGTCAGTATCTGCCCGTCGGTGTCTCCGAAGCACTGGTCTGGTCTGACGTGAACGTCCGATTGGGAAAGTTGAGGTAGGAAAATGGAGCTCTCACGACGAATGAGTAACTCATGCATTAGGGGTTGTGCCGGTTGGAAGACGCACTCCACATACCAGAGGGCTACCGCGCAGAGCTCTTTTCACCCAATCCCGTGCCGAGTGAAAGCGACCGGAAGGTGGATAGTGTATGAATTGGCAGTTGATCAGCTGTAGAACCCTTCCGGTGCCGTATCACCCAAAATAAGCACGAGAAGTGGAATACCGCCAGCTTGCCCAAGCCTAGAGAGGGAAAGTCGAGATGCAGAGGTCAGGTTCGAACCACGGACCTTCCGGGCAGACACGACTGCTACACACCGACATCGATTAGCAGATACAGCTGGGAATCGATGTCAGTGGCGGTCTTGTTGTCAGTTCGTAGTAAGATTCCTCGAAAGAGTGCCTGCAGGTGTAATAAGCCAGAACTAAACCGATTCCCCATCAACTTCTATTCTTTTCTTCAAAATATAGATTTCAAATAAATCAGGGTTGTACGGCAGCGAAGCATCAGTATTCAACTGATGATGATGAAGAAGTCCCAACAGTAAGCAGTGGTGAGTGGCGTGAGACCGGCCGGCAGTCCGCATTTTTAAGTACATAAACACGCCTGTTCCAATTAAAAACCTGGAGGACGACGAGACTGTGTCCACCAGACCTCTACCCAAGACCAACCTTAGAGAGTGTAATTGTACGGTCCCATATATATCTAAGTGTTATGCACGTGGACAAATCCCCATAGCTCTGTAGGGCAGTCTCACCATCTCTTCATGACGAAGCTGGTATCCTCGTGTCCATTCGGCCTCTTAGTGGAGGCCCAGTCAAATTGTGGTGTGCACTAGAAACTTAGAACAATAACCAGAGTAGTGACTGGCATCTAGAGAAGCCTGAACTAGTTAATCTGGAGTGGCGAGGGTTTCGTAAACATCATTTCTTTCCAGCGACCCCCCAGACTAGCTTGTCGCCCAGTAGCTGTCTGAAGTAAATTGTATCGCGGTTTACCTGGATGTGATCCTCAATTAGAATTCCGTGAAGCGTTTCAGAAACTATACGATTTACCCGACTCGTCCAAGGAAATTTGTGGGCATCGACTGTCAGCTACCTGTCAGATCACCAAATCAATGAAACCAGTTCAGATTCAGCATGTGCTTCAAGTGAGGTCACGTAACGCTGCACCGTTTATCCCGAGTCCTCCGGAATTCACGACCCCTCCAAAACCGTTGAACCGGAGTGTCTAGTGCCCCAAGATGTTCCGAGAATCTGAGAAACAGAAAAAACACCATATGCACCAATGCATCGTACGCCAAATCCCGAATGTAACAGCTACCAGTCAACTCCAAACGCCCCGGCCTCCCTACCCGAGCGTTCATGCACCTGGGACTCACCATTGGGAATTCTGAGGGCGCCATCACGCCAGAGTCTGGAGGTATAATAACAAGCAGCCAGTTTGAAACAAATTGACAGCAATAGGGGCTTAAACCACTCGTCGTTATGGCCTATCAGGACAATAGGCCAGTGTTTTCAGATAAGTAAACAAACAAAGTGTATAGAGGGCACCGAATGACAGAACCCAACTGCGACAAAGCTTCGATAGGTACTGAGACGTCCACCAGCCACTTTTAGCCAATCAAATACGAGCTAGCCCTTGAGATCCCGAGCCTCTGAATTGCGGGACAAATCCTTATCAGGGGTATGTAATGTTCTCCAAAACAATTGCGTGTCGAATAAGAGTTTTTTTTTGCGAAATTTTGCATTGTGCAAGGTGTATGAGCAAAGCAAGCACCACCACACTTGGTCTCACTCGAGCCTCC